ATTCCTTTTTCCAGTGAAGCTTTTCGTTTGTGCCCATATTGCGAAGTCCTGCATGAATCCCTGCTGATCACGTGTAACGTACAAGGTTTGACCCTCTTAGAACTGGGAAGGTGCTGATCACGAGAAAGCCGCACTGAACCCCACTCCCATACAGGCGATATCTCCAGCATGACACAGACGGTAACCCAGGGCGTACAAGGCGTTGCCTCCCTCGTGACACAGGACTGCTATCCACTGCGACCCATACCTTATTAGTGGGACCCGATCACTGCCCTCCATCGTGACCGGTCCCCATCCCCAGCGCGACCGCGCCTTTATCTATAGTGTGACCTAGTCTCCGTTTGATACCGACCAGGACGTGTACTCACCCTGGCGGACTCAGGCCATTTCTGCCGCGAGGCGCGAGTCGGTCTAACTGCGAGTGAAGGGTGATGAGATACGTTGATGCAGTGTCAGAATGGGCATCGCTCAGTGGTCAAATCATGCTAATTTTGCCCAGAGTTGATGTGGCGAGAATAGCATGCTCAATTAATTCAGGCCAGCTCCAGAACACACGTGCCCAGCCAACGCCGGCTCCGACTGTCTGCCAGGCAAAATGAGTTTGAGGCAAAATGAGTCCGCACCGTTTCCTACCATCCGGACATCCCCTATGCCGCCTGGCCATCCCCTGTGCCGCCTAGGCAGATCTCTTTTGCCACATAACAGTCTTCCGTGACACCTAGCGGTCTCCTTGTGCCGCTAACAGTCTCCTGTGCCGCCTGGCATCCCCTGTTCCGTCTGACCGTCCCCTTTGTCGTCTGACGTCTCCTGTCTTAGCCTGCGTCCCCTGTTTCTGTCTGACCTTCCCCTGTGCCCGCCCCTGGCCGTCCCCGGTGCCGCCTGGCCGCTCCTGTCCGTCTGACCGCCCCTGTCCACCTGGCCGCCCCTGTGCCCCCTGGCCGTCCCCTGTGCCGCCTGAACTGTCTCTGTCCGTCTGACCGTCCCCCTGTGCCCGCCCTGGCCGTTCCTGTGCCGTCGATCGTCCCCTGTGCCGTCGGAACCGTCCCTGTGCCGCATGCCGTCCCTGTGCCTTCCTGACGTCCCCTGTGGCCGTATGACCTCCCTGTGCCGCCTGGCCTCTAAACTGTGGCCGTCTGACGTCCCTTGCCGCCTGCGCGTCCCTTTGCTCACCTGCCGTCTCATGTGCCGTCTGACCGTCCCCTGTGTCCGTCTGTCGTCCCCTGGCACCCTGGCCGTCCCCTGTGTCCGTCTGATCTTCCCCTGTGCGGCTGATCGTCCCCTGTGCCGTCTGACCGTCCCCTGTGCCACCTGACCGTCCCCTGTGCCGTCTGACCGTCCCCTGTGTCGTCTAACAGTCTCCTGTGCTACCTGGCCGTCCCCTGTTTCGTCCGACCGTCCCCTGTGCAGTCTGGCCGTCTCCTGTGCCGCCTGGCCGTCTCCTGTGCCGCCTGGCTGTCTCTGTGCCGCCTGGCCGTCCCCTGTGCCGCCTGGCCGTCTCCTGTGCCGCCTGGCCGTCGCGCCTGACGTTTCGCTGCGCCGCCGCCTCACTAACCTGAACGCGGCCGCCATCGACTGGGCGGTTAGGCCCCGACGCTGCCCGCCACAGCGGCGCTGCACTGACACAGGATTATCGCCTCTAACGGGATCGATGGCGCCCGTGTCGAACACCAGCCACAAATCTGCCGGCCGATCGGTCCGACGGCCACGATTGACAGCGGCGCCGGCTGTGTACGCCACCGCGTGAGGCTCGCGGTCCGCTCGGCGGGAGGTGACGCTCCCCTCCACGACCATGTAGCCATCGGCAGAACCTGCGCTCGACTGCTTTGGACGAGGCAAGTTCGGCTGCTCTCTCTGAGACTGTGCATCATACTCCGATCATAAATTCAGTTCAAAGTTCGAATTCGGGACGAATCGATTAATTCTGCTCCAATCCAGCAGCAAAGTCTGTGGCTGATTCCGATGCATATTTGAGAGGTGACGACTTCCATCACAATTGTTTTGAGTGGACATGTCTTCTGTACATGGGCTAAATAAGACCACATTGCGGCTTTACTAATGCAATCAGACAGAACCACAATGTTGGTGATACAATCAGTGAGCGAGAGACAGACGAGCGAGACCATAGAAGGTGTCAGTGTTGTCGGTTGTGATGTAGAAAGAAGAATCCAAGGGTGGCCAACCTGGCTATGGCCCTCCCCCTAGGATGGCGTAAGTTGAGCAAAACTAGCATGTTTCTAGACACAAGTGTGGAGTCATGGTCACGTCTCTGTCTCGTCTGCCTGCTGAGATCTGATGTCAGTCCTCAAAGACGCCGCGACAGGCGTGGAGTCATGGTTGGCACATGGCAGCGCGGTACTCCCTGGACATGCCGACCTGCACTGCGGTCTATGCGACTGCCGGCTGTCTCTTCGTCCGAGCTGGCCGCTCTAGTAACGCTGCGACGCCATATCGTTAGGGTCTGGTCTTAATCGCACTCGCATTCTTCAGTTCCTTTGCATTTTGAACAGTTCATCTTTCTATGTTAATTCAATGGGGAAACCTAAGTCAGAGTGGTATCATCATGTTGCAGGAAAGCTGGCGCGGCCAGACGACTTACATGTAAAGGCTTCGGCACTTGCACAGCACACTTTTAAAGTTTTAAATATGCCCCCCGGTGGTCAGTGAAATATGACATGCTCGGGTGTGGGGGTGGGTCAATCTATCCACCCCTAAAACATAACAAGTGAAGGCAACTAGGTGCACCGATTTTCAGAGCCTCAGATCGGCGACGTTATTTACCTCTTACAAAGTCGAAATGACAAAACACCTTTGCGATAATATATGTTGTTTAAATTCAGCATCAAGAACTACTCGAGGCAACAATTTGTTCAAAGCAAAAGGTTGATCGAGGTCACCTTAGGTCTGTGACCTTCCCTGGCCTGCATAAAGGTAGCCGTCTATTCGTGATCAATGAGCCTCAGACTACCCCATAATAAGTTGTCAAGTTAAAAAGCTGTTTGGTTTCAACTTTGATATGCTCTCCATACCTGACCCAATGCCAACGGAACTACAGCTTTAAGGAATGATTCAAATAAGGTATTCGTATCACAGCTGGCACCATTATTTGGGCCACCGTCGCCGTCTGTTGTGTTGGTTACACAGCGCTTCCACCAGTTAACTCCCCGACCGGCGGGTGCTGTGGGGGCCTGAGCAGTACTGAATGATACTTGACTGTCATCCATGTATGCGTCGCAATTCGGCTTCTCTCCTTAGAATTGCTGCAATTCAAACTAGAGGCGGCCGCATGAAGCGGTTGGAATCCCTGTAATTTCAAGGAGATGATTCGGGTTGTGACGCATGAATATGTCATAGCCAAGCACCATCTAGGTTCTTTCGGGATTCCATACATCTGACGACGGCCAGGGAGTGAACTGGCCGAAACGTAGGTGATTAACACACCAGACAAAGACGAACATCAGTGCGCTTATTCCATCCGTGTCAATGGAACTAGTTGTAATCCTAGTTTTCATTGAATAATTGTCTAAAAGATCATCTCAAAGTTGTATAACTTCGTCCAAACCTCCTTTCTCGCGTTAGCTTGAAACATTCCCTGAGCATTGCCTTTGCCGACAACCATGGCCAGCCATGTGCTTGCTGCAGGTCAGCGACCTTCAAATGAACACATTATTTTTGCACAAGAATGAATTTTTTCGTCGGAGTCAACGCAATGTTTAACCATCAAACTCCCTTAGGTTTTTCAAAAAGACATCCCTCAAGGCATTTCGACCCATTTTTATGAAGGAACGCAATGTAAAAAGCAATTGAGCCGTCTTATAACCAAAGTCCAATCAAATAGCTTTCCCATTCGTGGCACAGATGGCTGTTCACGGTGTAGGGTGCGAAAACAGCTCATTGGGAACAGGAAAACTGTACCAATCAGTGGGACGGAGGCGTTAGATAGCCTTGGACGGAGGCGACCAGTACCAAGTTGCAATTAATTACGCATTTGAGACAGACTAAACGTTCACGGCAACGCATCTTTGCAAAGGATTCATAGGCCGTTTATCATAGGCCATACCTTCACTGACAAGTGTCTTCACCTCACCGACAACTGATAACACCACAGTCACAGAAAGAAATGGCAATACGCGTTTTCCTTGCTATAGAAAGACATCATCATTTACGTGGTTTATCTACATCATTCGGCACAATTCGTTCCCCTAATCAGAGAATATATTTTCGATATTCCGGATAATTCTGTTAGATTACGCGGTGGCCGAGGCCGTCCCAAGACCGCAGTCATGGGGACTGAAATCCGCTGCCAGCGCTCCCCTGATCAATTGCTGATCCTACCGATACGTCCACGATATGAGCAGCGAAAAAGTGGTGAAATGTGGTTTTGGGGTCAAAAAGTGGTTTGGGGTCAGTCGATAGCTTTGATCTCCCACCAAAAATCTGTGGCATCTGACATAATAGTCATCGGAGGCAAATTCGTAGAAGCGAATGATACCATTCGATGTAAACCTGGGTTCCCCACCGTCTTACGTGCACGGTTAGAGAACCCGCCCAGAGCCTAGCATCTATATGTTTGACTGAAGAATAGACTACGACTTATACAGACACAATACAACTCCACGTTCCAAAAATATAATTCGATGCGAGTAATGCCGTTACAGCTGTTAATGGTACACATGGAGGCACGGCTGAATGGAGACCATGTGCCTTGGCACGTCTGTGGCTGTGTGTGTGTGTGTGTGTGTGTGTGTGTGTGTGTGGTGTGTGTGTGTGTGTGTGTGTGTGTGTGTGTGCGCGCGTGCGCGCGTGCGTGCGTGCGTGCGTGCGTGCGTGCGTGCGTGCGTGCGTGCGTGCGTGCGTGCGTGCGTGCGTGCGTGCGTGCGTGCGTGCGTGCGTGCGCGCGTGCGTGCGTGCGTGGGAATTTCCGTCGCCGTCTTAGGCCTGGAAATGCGGGGGACCACAGACCGTCGAAGATTACATCGACCCTCGCCGAGACTTCGTCTCACCTCTCGCTCGTTGTTGGCGAATTGGATGCCCAGGTTGGTCATAGCTCTCAGGATCGCCACGAGTGACTGGATGGTATTGCTATAGACCACTGGACGATACTGCTTGAAGTCCTCCGCGGTGAACCCGCTCTCGTGAATAATTCTGAAAAAGGTACGAGAGCACAGGTGAGGGCCGCCAAAATTATATTATAACCTCTCGATCTGTGTCGTTGGGGCTTAACGACGCACCCACCTGCTGAGGCTACATGGCGTTGACTGTCTCTCACCTTGGCCGGAAGGGCGGGCACCGCGAAAATCGATCCCCGTACTTCTGTTTCCCAGACGTGCAATGGTCAACGCAGACGCGTTAACCACGGCACTAACGGCACCCGCTGCCCTCTCCACTTGAGGACGAACTTGCAGATAAGAATTTGTTGCCATTTCTACCAGTTTTATTTTAAACTTCCGGCAGCGAATACCATGACCGTAAGCAGACTGCGAACAGGGCGAGAAGAATCCGCGTAAGGGAAGGCACCCTTTACTAAATAATTAGCTTAGTCTGGTATGACTCTTGAAATGTGATGATTTAAGATTATCCCACAGTACACTCACACAATGAACTGGTTGGTGGAAGAACCCTCCTGCCGTAGAGATCTCGGTTGCCCCGCTCCTGACTCCGCAGGAGTTTTATCATTATTGACATTCATTTCATCATAACGACGCTGTTCGTGAGTATAATTCCTATACCTCCTTTCAATGGGGGAGGGGGGGGGGGGCAACCCCTGCTGCAGTCCCATTTTTCCGGCCTATTAACCTGCAATGTTCTCAAACTGAAACAAACTTTAAAACGAAACATGCTAAATCCATAGTGATTATTTCCTTTTAAAGCTTGCATACTGTATTGTATTGGATTTTAGGCATGGCTTGATTATGCCACCGCCTGACATTCGCTTAGCCCCAAACTAATAACAAAACAACTTTGGTGAGAATGCACTGATTATGCAAGTGATAAATTAGAAGTTATGAGTCAGCAGCACTGCATCCAATCAAAGTTCTTAAGCTGATAACAAGAGACACACGATAATATCAGCGGAGGAGTTTCATAAATGAATGGGAGAGGAAACTTAAGACAGCACCCATGAAGACCACAGTCTTTTTGCTGTTATGGGTGACGTTCACAGATCCCCGCAATTTCGGCCTCAAATTGGGCCAATTCTGGCAACTGGGATATCCCCAAACAAAACAACACGGAGGCGGGGACCGGAAGGCTGTACAAAAGTTCCAATGGTCGACACGAAAAATGGACATACTAATGTGTATACAAAGACGAAATAGGCGTTCCTGCAAAATAAGCTCGTTGCGAAAAAGTTGGCGCTGAAAAATTGGTAAATGGGAGGGCAACCGGAGAGTCAGTCAAGCCAGATCAAACCGGATATTTGAACATTTGAATGTCTGAGATCTTTGCCGCACTATCTTCTGCCTTGCCAGTGAAGCCAAGTCGTCACTTGCCGCTTGCTGCACCCAAGACGCCACCAGACCAACTGGCCAAGACAACCAGGCTAACGCCTCAGCAACCATGTCGGTCAATGATCCATCCCGTGCATCCTCACACGCTCCCGCATTACCAGCGATATTTGCGATCAAAGTGGTCAGAGCTGCAGCGCGTTTATGGTACCCACGGCGGCTGAGGGCGTCGATAGGTAGCAGACAGTTCGAGGCGTGTATTCGTTGTCTTTCATTTCCCTTGCTTGGTAACAGGCTAAATAAGTCGGATAAAGCAGCGTCCCTTGTGTGCACCAGACAGCATGGGAGCCATTAACATAAATAAATTACCGGAAAAGGCCCTCCACCAGACAATGTCATCACACCGCCTTCGGAGGAGAAAAAAAAGATCAGCATGGTGACAGGAAGAACAGCGTGGTGACAGGAAGGATGTCTTGATGCGACATCGCTGCACTGAACGTGCACAACCGCTCCTTCCCCACCGGTCGGCGCGACGATCCCGGAGCCGCACCTGCCCTGGTAGGCTGTCTGATGACGCCGGTGCTAGGCGGCACAGTCTGCCCAACGCGGCAGCGGAGGGCGCGAGGCTGGGGGCAGTGACGGATTTGGGGAATAATGTTTGGGTCAGGGAGCTAGAATCGCTTTTGAACTAGGGTGGGAGTAAAAAATTACATCGCAAAAAGACCGTGCGGGAGTGAAAAAATCAATTCACGAAAGATGGAACTTATGAGCTCGTGACTGATGCTTCAGCAAACAAAGACATCTATTTCAAGTTGGCATGGACATAATATCAGGAGCCTGACAAACCTATTTCGTTGTTTAGCATCTTGGGCCATTAAAGTGATACAGAATACATTAACAAGCGCTCGGGCGAGGGGGCAAATTGACCCCCCCCCCCCACGAGGGCTTTTCCCAAATGGTTTCTGAACGGCGCGGCGTAGCCGCGCCAAATTTTGCATAGCTGTAGAAAATTGCATAGCGGATCGTCTGACATACAAATTTTGAATGTACCTTGTAATGTCGTTGACCTCTGACAGGTCACAGTCAGCCCATGGTTCCAGCGAAGGCAATTTCTAAGGAATCGTTCAATCTGATACAACAGCGGAGTGTTTGACGAAGACATACATCTCTGAGATGCTTTCTAAAACACCACAAATATTGAATGAGCAAAGTACGTTGATCTAAGGTTAGGTATGATGATCAGACCAAGGTCAACCTGATTTATTACTCTGGGGCTTGCTGTATGGGATAGTTTCTGATGCTCCTTTCCAATTCATTGACAGCAGCAACCGCATTATACATCTCCAATTTACTTCTTAGAGGCCAGAACAGGCCATTGACCCGAGATGAACCGGGTAGAACGTTTTGTTTTAGGAACATACTGCCTAGCGTAATCTTTGTCGCTTATTCAAATGCAAAACGCAGATCAGTCTCGTATCATTTTAGTCACCATGGCGTTCAAAGGGTCAAACAAGGTCAATGACCTCAAATGGGCTCGTGACATTTTGCTTAGAGACAGTTGTCTAGGTTCTGGGGACGCTTTGGAGACCAACTTGGAATTTGACCTTGTTCGACCTTATTCGACTTGAAGGTCATGACCTAGGAAGCTGAAACCTAAACCTAAGTGAGTTCACGTATAGGTCAAGACATCCTGTAAATTTGGTGTCTCTAGCTTTCTTAGTCCCCAAGATCACAGAGGAGGGGGTCAAGTTGATACCCCCCACCCGAGCGAACGGTATCTAGCCGACCAACCGGGCGCGTGTTAAAGCATAGTAATTTTGTGACAGTGTTATGAACATAGCAAATTATTAACACCAATAATTTGGTGCTGCACTTTTCAATTCCCTTCCACAGCACTTTTAAAACAACACGAAGCAAAGGAACTCAAAGACAAAATAACAACAGAAAATTCAACAAGCATAAAACACAAAAAAAACATGGTCTCCTACACATCAGCCATCATCAAGTCAAATACAATAGGCATACTTCTGGCTTCTGTTAAGATGGGGTCAGGGAAAACAAAAATTTTGTCACTGTTTCTTACAAAATACCAATGCTTATTTCCATGAAAGTAGCCTATGCCTAACCTAAAGCGGCCGTACGTTATCTCATCCTGTATAGCCTGTTTGTATCACAACAGCAGTTGTGAGTTACTGATTCTTGCTCAATTCCTATTGCCACTTGCCATGCACTTGACCAACTTAACCTAACTTAGAGTAGCCCATATGATGAACATCATCTCAACCCACCTTTCTGCTGACAGCAGCACTTGTGATAAATACATGATATTTAGAGCTAGTTTTTTGGCTGGCTTCAACTTGCATTTTTATTTAGTTCATTTGTGTATGCTTGTTGACATCGGACAAAGTTGACAACACGCAAATCAAAACACTTTAAATCACTTTGAACAGCTTATTTTGATTGTCAAGGTGAACCTACGTCAAATGCAATAATGGCTATGCTCCGCAACATAATTTCTCTTCTCCAAAAATAACATAACATTTAGATGACCATGCCAGTATTGCTGCTTGCCTTTTCAGCTGTAGCAAATGCATCCATTTGGGCTTGTTTTTTTCATATTTAATGACAAAGTTTGACATGTTGGCTTCACATTTTAAACGGGGGGGTCTGACTATTTGTTACATACCAATATTTAACTCATATTATAATTCCTATGCAGCTTAGAGTATCCATGTGTTAAAAATATGGTGCATGTATACAGTACAGTCATTTGCTGGTCAGCAAACCATGACAACCCTAGAAAACATCTGGTTAAAGCAGCCATGAGGGACCACCTTAAGAAATTTTGGGCAAATAACCAAGAATATGGAACAAAATAAGCCCATTGCATGCCTTGTGGCATCATAATTTGTCTTATGGTAAAACTCGATGCATTAAAACAGAAAATGGTTAATTCTTGTTACCAATCATGTGTTGAAAGCAAATAAGGTAAGCAAATACTTGGTCCACAGGAGACTTACTGGCTTCTTCCTGCTCCATAAAAAACAAAAATTAAGTACCTTTTGCATGGTCTGCTGGCAGACAGAGTCATCCGATTCACCCCCCAAATATAAATATCAATGATGCCCACCAGCCTTCCAGATAAAAATGCGAAATAAGTAAGAGGTGCGCATGATAAACATCTCCAGAGAGCGCAATTTCGCCATCAAACACTTCTGTATTAGTTGCGCCACGTCTGTCCCAAGGCTCCATATGGCAGCATTATCATAGCCTTGCAAGGTAGACTGGTAAGTCAGACACTCGAAAGGCCTGGATTTATCATTATTGAGCACCGTCATGAACCAAAAAAACGTTTAACCAAAGGTTTAAGGGGGGGGGGGAAATGGCGGTAAAAATAAGTTCCGTGATTCAAATTGTCTCCTTCATTCCCTGTGAATTGTGCACGTTTGGGTGCATATCAAACATGCTCGGGCGGCTTGCGAATTAATCCAATTTATGTATGAAATACGCACAAGTTTGCAGTTTGAGGATCTTGCAGAGAAATTGTTCAAAATTTTAAGCAGCAGATGGTACCTCTAAAGACAATCGAAAAGGAAGGAAGAATAAAGTGGTAGCACACTGGCATGATACCAAGAAAAGCAAAAGTAGATAAATAAATGTAAAGACCAGTATTTTCTCGCAAAATTTTGTAATCAGCTGATTTGACTTAAAATATGTTAATACACGAGCTCAAATGGTGAAATTCATCTTGTAAGTTTAATTTAAAAGAATTTCTTGAACTTTTCACCCCTGCACGTCGGGAGTGATGCGGTTTAGTGGTCAAGTTTCCTCGGGAAAATAGGAGTACGCAGAGCAAAATTCTCTACCAGGTCTTGCTGGTGTTTGCACCAGGCTCTGCTTTTGGTGGTGTGGTGGTGAGACCAAAAAATAGGGGATGCGTGAAAACCTTGCATTTGGCGCACAGCTGCAGATTGTAATGTATTTTGTAAACAAACCAAACTTAATGCGTGCAAGCGGCTGGGGTCGCTGGGGTTTTTGGGCTTGGAGGTACCTGGCGCCCTTGCTCTGTGCTCTGTGCAGGCAGGACATAGCCATAGGTGTCTAGGTTCTGTGGAGCCTCGTTTATGCTTGGTGGTTTCAAGTGGGCTCGGTTTTGGATGACATCTAAAAACCTCCGAAAGGGAAATAGGGTTTGGCATGTGCGATTAGACAATGTCAGGCAGGAGTGAAAAGTTCACATGAAATATGGGGAAAAGGAGTGAAAAATTTTTCCTCATGGGTTGTTGCTTTACACCCAAAGTCGGCAATTCTAGGACACTGGTTTGGGTAGATCGAATTTTGACGGTCAAGTTTTCACAGCTCTGATTTTTCAAGTCACGTTATTTCGCGGGGACACTGATTTCTTGGGGTATGTACCACAGACGTGGCCCCTCAAATCCATTTCTTCCACCTCTGCACAAAGATCACAACTGCCCGGCATTACATGAAACGTCACCAAAGCCAGACGAAGTGGCGTACCTCAGTGACGGGGTGACGCTGTTAAGAGTTGCTGGTTAAGTGCTCGGTTCGTGATAGCTTTGTTGTCGTTTCTGCAATAACTAGTTATATGGATTTACATTGGTGAGCACTTCGCAACTCGGATATGCACATACTGCTAGTTCTACGCCTAAGCTGTTTTCAATGGCGACTGGGGCATAAAATAGTTGAATGTTTGAATGTCTCCGAGATATTTGAATGGGGTTAAATAAAAGCTTCGATATAGAATCAAATGCTTGGTAAATAAAGTCCGTGGCTTTTTGAAGGTGGGAGATAATCTTGAACACAGAACACGTGGAAAATTTATGAGGACACTCGTCGAAAATGTTACGAATATGTATGTTTTTATGTTCGAGCGAAGGCTAGCCTAGTTATCATTACATAGACATATGAAAACATTCAGAACCAGAAAGCCTTTGCTCAAGACCGTACGAACTTCCGCTGTCTACCTGTGGTTCACCCAAATATTGATGTAAACCCGCTACCGCGACCAATTTGCAACAATTTGTACCGACTCACACTTGTACCAGATCCCCAATAACTGTCACGCATTACCAATGTAAAGTCCACCGGCCAAAGCCAGGAGTAACCAAAAATAAGACGGTTTCAATAGAACATTCCAATGCTTATTGGCTCAGAACTATTATCACCAAAAAATCGCAAACTGCATTGCGTGGGAGAGATATTGGCATCCATACAAGATATTACGTTACTACACACGTTGCGCAATATATCATTGGTAACATGTAATGCGTCCTAGTCTAGTTATTCTCTGTGTTCTCGGCTCTTTCTGTCACTATTGCTGCTACCTGGCATGCAAGTGAAATTGTCAAGTCATCGTAGGCCAGTGACGTTGGTTGCATTTCAGTCATGATATAAGCTGTATAGAGGGTAGCCAGTCGGTTTTCTTACTTCAGACTTGTAGGCGTTACTCTTTAGCCTGTGTGCATAATTGTTTACTGAAAGGTCGTTACAGCCACTGACCAGGGGCCTAGGTTAAAACTGATCTCTCGAACTTCACAGGTCATCGAATCGATGACACAATTTAAGGTCGAGCTGTTCTTTGCGAACTGGTTACTCAAGAAACATCAAAATCTTTGTGGCTGAAATCAATTAGCGGGAAACTTCAAATCGACTCCAATTTGATGGTCGAGCTGAGAAAACTTTGAACTTATATGCTTTATAAAATCTTGTCCGGAACAATTACTTTATCTAAAATCTCTCATTTTAACCTGCAACGTTCAACCTTGAACTCACAAGGGCGTATACCAACCGAAGGCGCACCGGAAGTCTTTCCTCGTTGGTGTAGGGGGAGGGGGGGAGGCAGACGATGGATCTTTTGGTGATTTCCCCTCTAGCCAACCCCAATTGAGCCGGTTTGCCCCTCTCCTGGTACCCTTAGTTCCCGCGCCCCTGCTACCCTTCCCCTGTCAGCGTTAAACCTGGGAGGTTTGAGAATGGGGGAAGTGAGCGGCCAGAGCGCATCTGTGGTGGAGTTTCAGGCCGGTCCGGTAAATGTTTGGTGTTGTGGACATGGGTCTGAGCGGTGCTGATTCAAGGATTACACATTACACATGTTTGAACAAAAATATTTAGCCGCAACACACATCGGATATAGCCTGAGCGACCCACAGTAAAATCGGAAATTTCTGAGACAAGTATTCTAGACTGCTTGTACTTTCCAAATGAGCTCAAATCATAGACTGACGTATTTGATAAATTGTCCAGGCTGCATCATCGTGTCTTCCGATGCTCATTTGATGCAGCGGCATTAGATGCAGTCAGATGAATTACATAATGGTGTGTGATGGCTGTGCCAGTGACGACACACACGGCGATTGCACAGCGCAAGTCACAGCATTCGACGCACAATAGAGCACAGCGTCAAAGAGAAAACAAACCTTTACAGAAAAAAGATTGGTGGTTAAACTGAAATATTTTGCTTGTGGAAACTTACTTCATCTGTTTAACGATGGTACTTTTTCCGGATTCTCCAGCACCTAGAAGAAAAACAGCAGGGTATGACAGACGTTTGTAGTAAACAATACGCAGACTGTGGCTGAGAGCGTCATAGTTCCTCAGCTCAATGATTCACGTGCAACCTATTCAAGCACGTTTTGCGACATGCACGTCTTGGCTGGTCACCGAGCAATCACAGGGCAGCAGTTGACACTGGTGACACGTGGGCTCTGTAACAGCGAACAGTCCGCGTCATCACACACCGCGGCTGGTAGTGGTGTCCAGACTCCTGGTGCCTCCCCATGCCCCTCAGGAGACCCGGACAGCCCGCGCCATCACACACCGCGGCTGGTGGTTCTCCACGTGTCCAGACTCCTGGTGCCTCCCCATGCCCTTCAGGAGGCCCCGACAGCCCGCGCCATCACACACCGCGGCTGGTGGTTCTCCACGTGTCCAGACTCCTGGTGCCTCCCCCATGCCCCTCAGGAGGCCTCGACAGCCCGCGTCATCACACGCCGCGGCTGGTGATTCTCCACGTGTCCAGACTCCTGGTGCCTCCCCCATGCCCCTCAGGAGGGCTCGACAGCCCGCGCCATCACACACCGCGGCTGGTGGTTCTCCATGTGTCCAGACTCCTGGTGCCTCCCCCATGCCCCTCGGGGGACCCGGACGGCCCGCGCGGACCACGCTCCGGGCACCGCTGCTCCGCCCTCACCCAAGCTCCACGGGGAAGACTGCACGGTACAATTCAAGCCGCGAAGCCTCAAGCTGCGCGGAAAAAGGACGGCTCGGGAGAGGAATGTGCTAGCCTTTCCGGCTCATTTCTGGCCCGGGGAAGCCAGTCACGTGCGGGACTCTCAGTGAGGTCTCGTTTCATCTCTACGGTGTGAGGAAGATCTTGAGGAGGCAGAGGGCTCTTCCCTTATCGACCGAGCGCCCGTAAGGCTTCCGAGATTCACTGAAAGGGAATGTTTCACATTTGAATGTATTGAATTAAGCATTAGATGCGTAAGTTATTCGGTGCATTTACATATATATATATATATATATATATATATATATATATATATATATATGTGTATGTATATGTAAATGCACCGAATAACTTACGCATCTAATGCTTAATTCAACACATTCAAATGTGAAACATTCTCTTTCAGTGAATCTCGGAAGCCTTACGGGCGCTCGGTCGATAAGGGAAGAGCCCTCTGCCTCCTCAAGATCTTCCTCACACCTCACACTTTCAACCAATGTTATGCGCGGTACGATGACGTTATCGAACAATGGCGCATCGAGGAGCATATGTGCTAAACAGACATTTTGTTGTCTAGAGCAGTATCTTTCTCTTAAGAATATTAACGACAGTAGTACGTGAGATTGCTTCATCATATTTAATGCTTAAAGTAGCAATAATAGGTTTATTCCACGGAGAAAAACTAGGAGAACGGATATATATATATATATATATATATATATATTGCTTCATCATATTTAATGCTTAAAGCAGTAATAATAGGTTTATTCCACGGAGAAAAACTAGGAGAGCGGATATATATATATATATATATATATATATATATATCCGTTCTCCTAGTTTTTCTCCGTGGAATAAACCTATTATTACTGTTTTAAGCATTAAATATGATGAAGCAATCTCACGTACTACTGTCGTTAATATTCTTAAGAGAAAGATACTGCTCTAGACAACAAAATGTCTGTTTAGTACATATGCTCCTCGATGCGCCATTGTTCGATAACGTCATCGTACCGTGTATAACATTGATTGAAAGCCAACTAACGGCCGTTACATTTGGAAATTGCACTCACAAACGCCGGAATAAATGACTTGACCATTATAATTTGCATTGGTCTCCAACGCCACATGGCTTATGGAATGGCAGGATCTGAATGACGTTATCATGACGTCAAATGCCAAGGTGACCTTGAAATGCTCTCCCCGAAATAGCCTTCCCATCTTCGTTGACGCGTAGCTCAGAAACTAGTTTGCTTCAGGCTTCAAGAAGGGCAGGTCTGTAAACTACACCAAACGATCTTCAAGATGGCTATTTCAGTTCAAAGCCTGACAGAAATGTGGAACACTCCCTTTAACGTGAACGTGGATTCAATCGCTTCGGGTCTACCATTCTAATATGTGATACACCATACTGTGCTAAGGGCCACTCGAAATACAAATACAGCTGAGGCAAGTCTGGATGACCCGTACCGAGGATAAGGTTAGGAAGGGCGTGTCAATCAGGTCTTGGGACGTGCAGCAGCCCGCCAACCGGGCTTCAGCACTGGTGTGTTGCAACATGTAGCTTTTTACCTTGTAGCCGATGCGGGTCACAGCACTTTTCTGCCTGACTGACTGTGTTCCGGACAGCCCTTAACAAGGTATCGTGTGTTGGGTCTTGGCATGAAGAGGCTCAAATGACTTCATTGATGGTTTTGGTTTCCGTAATTTAATCTTCTTCTAGGTGAGGGCCACGGAGACCTTTTGCCTTAGCCATCTCTGTTTGGAGCGCCTCTTGGTAGTGTCGTGTATCTGTTGTAACGATGTGGGAGATCGAATTTGTTCTTTGGTATCGTTTTGTTGATAGAACATGCACAGGTTCAGAACATTTTCTGTCTTTCGCACGCCCTAAGTTTTGTATCGTAATTTTTACCTAACATTTTCTGTAATTTCTGACCATGAAGACTGCATTGAAACGTCGCACATATCATTTCCCGATATCTTCTTAACCAGCTACTCCAGGTGCACATCCAAAATCGATGACTTTCAGCACAACACTTCACAGTGGCTCTAGTATCCCACACGCTAAACATGCACAACATTCGCCGACCCAACAAGAGGAGCAAGCCCTGCAGCATGTTGCATAAGTTCCGCGGCCAGTTGTAGCCTCAGGCGATTAACGCTGGCCCAATCTCCTCCTGCCTTTCCAGCAGCGCAACGACGCTCGACGAGAGCGCTCAGAGGCAAATTGAGCCTAGTGACTGAAGCGCTCGTGAAATTTACAAGGCTCACTCAGACTCTGAGCAAACTCCGAAGGAACACTCGGCCGGCCGGATTTGCCTCAACAATCTCTGGTCTTTTCTCAGAAGATCTCTCCCCCTAATCCCCCTGCCTGATCGCATCTCTCTTACGGTCTTACTGCCTTCCCACGCGACCTCTTTTGATGTTGTCATTAATGAGCCTGCTTGCCCACGTCCTTATGAATGGCTGCCGTCGTAGCTATCATTGATTAGTTCCGTGCTCGTGTTTTCACTCCACGGCGTTTACCCACTTGCGTGTTGCAGCCCCATTAACTATGTGTGTGCTCTCGTCGTATTTGCCACTCCCTGCTCTGCCCTGCGTGGCTCTGTCACCCACTCCTTGCTGCGGCCTCCCCCGCTCTGCCGCCTGCTACCCGCCCTGACGCCCGCTCCCCGCCCTGACGCCAGCTCCCCGCCCTGGCGTCCACTCCCCGCTCTGACGCTTGCTCCCCGCTCTGTCGTGGGCCCCCACCCTGACGTCCGCTCCCCGCTCTGACGCCCGCTCCCCTGCTCTATCGCTTACTCCTCGCTCTGGCGTCTGCTCCCCGCCCTAACGCCCGCTCCCCGCCCTGACGCCCGCTCCCCGCTCTGACGATTGTTCCCCGCTCTGCCATAGGCTCCCGCCCTGCCGTCCGCCCCCCGCCCTGTCGTCCGCTCCCCGCCGTGCCGTCCGCTCCCCGCCGTGCCGTCCGCTCCCCGCCCTGACGCCCGCTCCCCGCCCTGACGCCCGCTCCCCGCCCTGTCGTCCGCTCCCCGCCGTGCCGTCCGCTCCTCGCCCTAACGCCCGCTCCCCGCCCTGACACCTGCTCCCCGCCCTGACACCTGCTCCCCGCCCTGACGCCCGCTCCCCGCCCTGTCGTCCGCTCCCCGCCGTGCCGTCCGCTCCTCGCCCTAACGCCCGCTCCCCGCCCTGACACCTGCTCCCCGCCCTGACACCTGCTCCCCGCCCTGACGCCCGCTCCTCGCCCTGACGCCTGCTTCCCGCTCTGTCGCTCACCCCCCGCTCTGCCGCCCACTTCCCGCTCTGCCGTCCGCCGGCGCCGCAGACCGATCGCCGGGACGGTGGTCGGGCGAGCGGCGATAGGGGACGCGTATCCGCTGATAGGGGACGCGTCCGACGGCGGTCGGCTGCCCGACGCCGGACGCCGCGCACGGCCGGAAGCTCGCCGCCGCTCCAGCGGACGCGGACAGGAAGCCGACCCGGGTGCGCTGAGAGGTTCGAACCGGCGTGATGCTGGCGCCGGGGTCCGAGTGGGATGCTGCCGCACCTGCCGCTATGGACGCGGTGTCGGGTTCCGTCCCCTGACGACGCCAGCAGAGTCGCGAGGAGTATATGTGAAGTGTTTGCTGGCTTGGTATCTACAGTCATGCAGACAAAATGGCCTGTTTAGTCCGTCTTGGTCTTATTTCTGATCATGTCAGTAGTTCTCACCTTCATTATGACTAAGCCCCTAGGCGACGCGATCAAGTCAAGATAAGATGCTACCACCTACCGCCCGATTTGGCGTAGCATCAGACTGGAGCAGTCATCGCAAGGGTTACCGCAGCGACATCTATCCGTCATTTCTTGAAAATAGATCGGGGTATGGATTGCGTCCGTCATGACGTTTCGAACTATGGCAGTGATACCTCGAGCCGCTACCAGGGCAGCAACTGCCGCCTACTGTGGAATCAGTTACACTGAAATAGACCTACTGTGACAATTTATGCTCGCCACCAGCCCTTGAAACGCAGAGAGCACGATTCCTGCTCGTGGGTTAGGCCTGCAAAACCCAACGCCAGGTGATTCAGAGACCCGGAATGGCCCGCTCGCCGCTGGTTCGTATCCGATGACCCACTGCCAGGCGTCAAGCTCCGATGGCGATATCAACCCAGCTGCTCGGGTGCCGCGATCTCAGTCCAGCCGCTCGGGCGTCAGCCGCCCCTCGTCGCAGCTCAGCCCAGCTGCTCATGTGCCGCGATCTCAGTCTGGCTGCTCGGGTGTCGCGATCTCACCCCAGCCGCTCGG